AAGCCTTTGCACTTGCGCACTATTTCTTCACCAATTCCTTTTAGCTTCGGGTGTTCATCAAAATTACTAGCACCAAGAGCATGTGTGACAAACAAAAAAACGCAAGCATCATCAGACAACACCGGCAGATGGTATACCGGATATGTGGTCATGATGGATGCAACCCTTTCATTTCGAGTGGTTACAAGTACTTTACTCCCAGGTGCTCCTGCCACCAAGGGTGTGCGCAGAACCTCCCATTGCTCGTAGTTCTCATTCCAAACATCATCCAAAACAATCAGAAACTTCTTTCCAGAAAGAATCTCCTTTAGCTTCACTTGAAGCGAATTGAAGTCCTTGGAATCGAGACTCTCCGAAGTAACACCCTGCAGCAGAGTCCTAGTCACTCTAGTAACATCAAATTCCGTAGAGACACAAACCCAAACTCTCAACTCAAAATGGTTCTCAATTTTATCATCGTTGTAAACTAACTGAGCAAGCGTGGTTTTGCCCACACCACCCATTCCGACAATTGAAATCACACCAGTTTTACCATCCATTAACCGTTCAAGAATGACTTGTTTATCCTGTTCCCTGCCAAAAACCCGAGATTTATCATCAAGAGAAGAAACGGAGCGCAGCCTCTCCCTTTTTGTCTCCAATTTCCCTCGGCCACCTCTCTCCCCCGACTTCAAAACATTCTTTTGCTCAAGAATCTGTTGAAATCTAGTAGTGATATCTTCTATCTTTGGCCCCAGCCGCTCACTAAACTTAATGCCACTTGAATTGAAACCAGCACAACATGGGGGAAATAAGAAGCGTAGCTTGCTGGTGGTGCCAGATTGGGTGTGTCCTAGTATTCTCCGGCGCTGGACCTCGGTCTTAATTTCATCAATGACGTCTTCAGTATCGTAAGCAAGGTCTGTTAAATCGGAGAGGCAGAGTTTGAGGTCAGGACTGGCGGTGTGGTTTTGTTGTGCGTCAGGGGGCAGGGGATTGGTTTCGGGCAGAAGAGTCTCCCACATGTTGAGTTGGGACGAAAACTGCTTTTTCCCGGCAAAGTTGAGAACCTCCGACGCGGACGATGGATCATAAATAAAACTGGAGAGAGGGGAGGCCATCTCTTCAGCAAGACCGGATGTTAGAGCTTCCATTTTTTCAGGGTTTGTGGGAATTTAGTAATACAGACCAGATCTCCTGAAAATGAACTCTGCCTTGAAGCGGCAAAAATGAAAAGCCAGAAATGGGAAAATTATAAAAGATAAAGCGCAGGCCTCTAGGGCTTAAAACGCGGCATGGACGTAGCAAGATGTTCGGATATCTAAAGAAAGATCATTAAAGCAAGCAATAGAATAATTAAATAAGGTAATACTACAGTTGTATTCTTTCACTTTAT